CAATTTCCTATGCCTTGATTTCTTCCCTTCTCTCTCCTCCCTCAACATTAAATATCAATATTAAATATAAGAGTATAAGAGTATAACAAAATAGTGTAAATCAAGAAAAAAGACTTTATGGAGTAAAACTATAAATACATGGGACTAAGTGGGTTAAAAAATTCCTTCATGAACTTCTTGGGTTAAAACATTTCTAAATGAGATTTATCAATAAAAATCCCATAAAAATAACATTCAAATATTTAATATACAAACCATAAGTTTACATACAACTATAAACAAGATTTTATCTAAAATTTTAGTTATGAACACAAATATGAAATTTTAACAATTAAAAAGAATGAGAGGGTTGAGAGAATTTTCTTACTTAGTAACAAGATTGAAATGGCTTAATGAAATGGTAGGAAAAGTTATATCTTCTTTAATCTTCTACTCTTCTTCTTCTCCTTACTTAGCTTAGCTTGCTCACAGAATTCCCTCCGATCAGTTGGAGGAGGAAATGTAAACTGTGTATACATGTACATAATATATATATATATATATATATATATATGAGAGGGTAATTTTTGGGAAAAATTGGGCCGAGCTTCGAGTTGGGCTTTGAGGCCCAAAACGCAAAGGACTAAGTAAAAAGGCCGTAATGGATATTCCGGCTTAGGGGGCAAGGTTACTCCGGCCTTGAGGAGACAAAGTTACTTCGGCTCAAGGAGGTGAGATTACTCCGGCTCAGGTAGAGATAGTTGCTTCGGCCCAAGGAAGAGTAAAACTACTCCGGTCTGGAGGCGACTCGGAGTTAGGCCGGTCTCAGAGTTAGTCCGGTCGCAGTGTGTTCTGGGAAGGCCGGTTTTGGAATTAGTCCGGTCGTGACATACAATGGTTAGGTCGGTCAGAACTTGTTACTTGGAAGTTTGATTTAAGCACACCAAGGTTGAACAGGGGCAGCCGAAGTAAGGAGTTAGAGGAGAAGACCGAGCTGAGGACAGTTCGGCCCTGTGTGGCTCAGCATAGCCAATTTTACTTCGGTCACATGGAAGTTCGGCTATGGAGAAAACCATCCCACTTGGTTTAAGCAGTGAGGGAGGGTGTAAAAGGATAAGCATTATCTTTAGGAGAATGAATCCTAGGAGGACTCTGTATGGAGAAGTACAAGTCCTACTAGGATTGTGCCACGGGAAACTTATAAAAGCTCACAAACATCACCTTGGAGGAGGTAATTGAACACAACCTTCCTGAGAACTTTAAGCTTTGTCTATTTGTCAAAGTTTTCTGACTTAGGCATCGGAGAGGTTTCCGGCACACACCCGCCGGCTAGCTCACGTTTGTGTTTTCAGGTGATAAAGCGACGTCGTACGGAGGAGCGTGGACTTGGTCAACAGGATTATACGAGGAGAATTATTTCCTCCCCGTACAATATATATATGTGAGTTCATCTTGACTCTCTCTCTCTCTCTCACACATATCATTCTATCAAGTCTCATCAAATTTTCCAATTCGAAGAGATATAATTGAGCCTACTCCCTATAATAACATGCATACATACAAGTGCTGGGTGATTGATCACCCACACTGCCACCGAGTTCTGATTTTTTTTTTCTTTTTCTTTTTTTATATTTGTGTGAAATTTTTAAAATTAATTAACTAAAGTTTTTAACTAAGGTATTTATTAAGAATAATTATTATGTTGAATCCTTGTTAAAATAAATTATAAACAATAAATATTGAATACTCACAAAATTATTGTTATTAAATTAATTTAAAACTAACTCATACACTAATATGTATTTCAGATAGACTCTGGATAAAATCAATTTATTTATTTATTTTCTTCTATGAATAATTAAATACGAGTTCTCACACCAAATCACACGCAACAAATATTACGATTAAAATCTTAACAGTCTCTTCATTTGGCAATGTCAAGACAAAACTACATAAAACATTCCTACACAAAATTTAAGCAACAAAGACAGAAATGAATAAACAAAAAAACACAATTTTACCTTTGGAACGAGATTGCTAACTCACATTGTAATGCATGAAATTAGGATTGAAAATCCTAACAATCTCCCCCTTAGCAATTCTGTGATAAAACACAAAATAGTCCCCTACACAAAAATGGTTACCACACACAACAAAATAAAACACATAAAGCACTTGCACAACTCTCCCTCTCAGCACAAAACCATTTTCATACAAAAACTTTTTCTTTCTCCCTAAACACAAGACCAATTTTTCTCCCCCTTTTTGCCCGGAATTGATAAGGAAAAAAAAAACACAAAACAAAATAATACTGATCACACTCAGAAAATTTTTACTCAATTCTCAAACATTGAAAAACAAAGTTTTATCAAAACTGAAAATGTTCAACAAGTGTAAAGAGACACTCACTCGAAAACTGTTGGATACCGGTAAACATAAATCCCATACAAAGGTAGTAAATGATAGAATACAATATCTAACAATGCCATGTAGAGATCAAATTTTGAACATTTTGTACCAAAAATTGAGCCACTCTTTTTGGAAGTCAAACCTCGAGTTTTTCAAAATACGTATGATTTCAGAGAGAGCATTAATCAAACCTTCATAACCTCCTTTCCTCTTTATAAATGCTTTTCAAGTTTTTTTTTTTTTTTTTTTCATTTCAACAAAAATTCAAAGGAGGCTTTCACATTGCTAAGAGCAGAACTGAATCCAATAAATCATGAATTTTATCCTTTGAAAAATGGTAGCTGCAACACACTCTTACATGTAGCCCTTTCCCTCGAGCTTTGCACAAAAGAAATAAAATATTTTTCTTGCTCATCTCTCGTCATCATACTATTAAGAACTTGGCAATTGCATGAGTTAAGGCACAAAAATTAATACATTGTTTAGGATTTCTCACAACTATGGACAAACATTTAATCCTTCCAAAAATGTGTACACAATGAGATCATGTTCATCAATCCTCAAGTATTCAAAGTGAAGTGAGAATGATACAAACCGAACATGTCATGCAAAATAAAACAATGTTTTTTCAAGAGTGAGTCTAGAGACAAAATTCCTTTTTCTCAAAGCAAGCAATCTAGAAGAGAAAAATCTGTTAGGGGAAAGACTTTAGAATACTTAAAAGACTCACAAGAAACACACATAATTTTTTTTTTTTAAAGAACTCAAAAAAAAAAATATATATATATATATATTTACAACAAAAACAAAAAAAACCCTTCAAACTAAATCACTTTTCCTCACCTAAGCAACTCTAGTTTTAACATGCGAAGTTCCAACGTGGTATTTAGGAAAGTTAGCACCTTTTTGATTATTTGGAAAAACGGAACCATTAAGCACATAATAATAAGGGCGAAGATGACCAAATTTATCACAAAAATCACACCAAAAAATAGGCTTACCATCCCTTGGATAACTTGTGGCCGGCTTACCCCATTGAACATTCCGTTTGTGCTTATGTTGTGACCGCTTGTGCATATGTTGTTGCCTTTGAGCTTGTCTAGAAGCACCTCCACCCCTGCCATGGTTAGCCTTATACAAATTCAAGCAATGATGCCTAATATGACCACTAACCCCACAATGACGACACATAGGTATAAATTTCTTCTTCAAAAAAATTTCATGAGATAAAATAGGAGTTGGAGGAATTTTACCTTTTCCTTTTTCAAGGCCTTTTACCTCTTGGGTGCTTGCATTGTTGGAAAATGATGTTTATAGCTTGGAGTCTTGATTGTTAAAGTAGCCAAGACCACTCTTGTCACTTGCCAATTTTTGTGAATTTATAAAAGCATCTAAATTCTTTGAACTCGTGTTCCACAACTTGAGTGTGGCATTGGCACCAATTAATTCAAGTTCTTTCTTGGCACACTTGTCTTCAAGCTCCTTTCTTATTTTGGCAAAATTTTCAGCTTCTTCCTTAAGGAGATCACAACTCTTTTTAAGCTCATAATGTGCACCAAGAATAAACTCTCTCTCATTTTTTCAAATAGAGAGTTCATCAATCAAAATGCTCTTTTCATTGGTGAGAGAGCTCATTTTTGTTTGAGTTTCTAAGAGCTCCTTTTCCGGCTTATCTTTCTCCATCTCACATTTTTTCAAATTTGTTATGAGATTTAGCTTTTGTCTAGACAAGTTGCGGCACTCATTGTACATCTTCACATAAGTTACTTGAAAGTCCTCATCCTCACTTTCAGAAGTGTCCTCATTTTTAGAAGCGGGATCATGACTTGCAACCAAGGCATTGTGTGTTGAAGATGTTGTACAAAGGGCACTGATAGGACCCTCACTTGGACCTTCATTTCCTTACTCATTTTCGGAATTGCTCTCATCATCCCATGTGATTTTGAGAGCTTTCTTTCTATTCTTCTTGGAAGGACATTCACTTGAAACATGTCCAAGTCCTTGACATTCATAACATTGTATTTCTTGAAAAATCATTTTCATATTGTCGGGTTTGGAAAAATTTTGCTCACCACTACCTCTTTTCCTTGAACTTGAATACTTGAAATCACTATAACAAAAAAGGATTTTTACGGCACGCAATGCACATCATATAAACCCTTCTACGACGTACAACACGCGTCATATTATGATCAATCATGAAAAGTCATTCATTTTCAATGACATGCTTCGTACGCCATTAAAAACTATTTAACAGCAGATTTTGTACATCGTTGTTACTTTTTCTATGACATGCTATAGTACGTCGTTAAAAACTATTTAACGGCAGATTTTGTGTATCGTTGTTACTTTTTCTACGACTACTTTTGCATGTTGTTAATTGGTGAGACAAATAACGATGCTGATTGCGCGTCGAAAAATATGTAATACAACGACTTATTATACTTGACGTAGAATATGCATTTTTTTTTTACAAAAAAATAAAATAAAATCAGCAGGTTCTATTTGACCAATTTTGTACAATCTAATAAATATTACAAACAAGCATCACAAAACATCAATCAACCACCAAAATATTGTTTGAAACATTAAAAAGAAATTATATCCATAAATTATAAACATTCAACAATGGTCTATACATTCCAAATATTCGAAAACTATATCCTTAAGTTCTAAACTGTACAAAAAGTTTAAACCGTCCAAAACTATGCATATCTAACTTTCTAAAAATATCGACAACTATTAAAAGATTATCTAAAACTACCGACAACAGTTCCCATAGCAGTTGCAGCTGTAGCTGTAGCAAATCCACTTGCTCCTATCACAGGGACGAGGGTACCCAATGTATGTGTCACCTAAACCCGTGGCAATAGTTGGAGCAACTAAGTCTGTTGCATTTCTTGTCTACATGACAAAGGAAACTTCACATAAGTACAAAAACCATCGACTCAGGGACAAAAATATTTCTTGAGGTATTAAGAAATGATCAAGAAATTTTAAAACATCAACAAAACATTTTCAAAATTAATAAGATAATTCAATAACCTCATAAAACCAATGTCATAATGAAAAATTAACAAAAATACAAGATCTCAACAGTCTCAACATATATGCAAATAAAATCCACATAAAGGAAAAACCTTTTTTTTTCACACCTCAAATGAAGTTACCTCTTTTGTTGCAATGTGTCTAGAGGGAAATGAATAGGAATCTTCAAACAAACCATTAAGTTTGTATAGGAGAATATAAGTTGCTATCCAGGCTATAAGAAGCTCAAAAGAAAAATTAAATTTAAAAAGAGAGAGAGATGAAATTAATCTACTTCAATGCAGCACCTACTTGGGACTTGCATGCTTATGTTAAAGGATCTCTATGTATAAAGTTTATGTTTGTATAGGTTTTATCCATTACCATTGTAAGTTCCAAAATAAAGAGTCCAAGTCAAATTAGAGTCTATATTATTTACAAGTTTAAAAAGAAACTTTCAATCCATTATAGAAGAAATTTAGGTAAGTTTTAGTAGCTTTAGGTGCTTTTTGGGACAATGTGATATAATTCTACCTGAGTACTTAGTAGCAAATACATAAGATAAGAAACTATAGGAATAATCCATAAGCTAATCTTTTTCTTCTTCTCTAATTTTTCACTAGCATCTAATTCAATCACAAACTATTACTAAAGAATGGGGGCACTTTTATAAAATATGGAATTAAGCTCAAATCAAATTTCAGTGTCTCATTCATTTTAGTTTCAAGTTAACCATCCCATGTGATGATAGTTGTCAGAGAAAACCTTAAATACCCATGTGATGATAGTTGTTAGAGAAAACCTTGAACACTAGCCTTTTTTGTAATCACAATAAATTCATCAACTGTCATTTGCTACCACAGTCCTTCGAATTCTAGCATAAGCAGCAAGGCAAAAGTAAAATACCACGCTCATTTTATAGAAAAATTTCAATCCTTCAGTGAAAGAAAAGACACTTTATACAAAATCAATTGTTTGGTTTCATAATTTTTTCCTTTTTATTGGCATGTAGGAAAAGAGGTGAAGATGATGTCTGAACTCCTAGACAACCAAAACCCAAGCAAAGAAACTGTCATGCAAGTGTTCTTACATGAAAAAAGAAAAAAGAAAAAAGAAAAATCATTCAAAAGGCTTGTGCATAAGTTAGCCAAGAATAAATTATATTAACCATTCCACTTAAAAAGTCAAGCCAAACTTGCCTCCGCTAGGTTGTCTGTGAGGTGCTTCTCGACAGTACTCCATATTTATTTTTTCTCCATAGTAGAGAGAATAAAAGTATGCCTGTTATGAAAAGAGATTACAATGTAAATGATATTGGTACTGTTAAGTAACTGCACCTTTGCATTTACAATGTAACAAAGATGCCAAACTTCATGCTAGACAAGTGATGATACTAGTCATGCATGTCAAAAGAAAAAAAATAAACAAGAGAACTTGAAAAATTGAAAATATGCAAATGACTAAAATGAGTATACAAAACTAAAAATCCAGTTGAATTGTATAAATGACAATTCATGGGTACAAAGTCTTGTCATAGGCTATAAAGTATTGCATGGCATTGCACGAACATAAGAACTCAGCTCCTTTAGGTAACTTCGGAGGATTTTCAACCAAATATAATCACAAATAAAAACAAAAACCAGATTAGATGGATACTAACCTTCTATCCATAAAAAAGGTTCCATTGAGCATGAAGACTCCCAAAGAAGTAACATACCTATACATAAAAGTTCGCAAGAATGTCAGAGTTGCTGATCTGGTCTGCCAGTTAGAATCATTAGCTGAAGAGAGAATCATAGATACAGCTTACTAGAGATGGGGTTCCCATAAAATCCTCCACTTTGGCAACTCAAAGGCTGCCTTGGTGAGGGTTGACAGATCTTTGTTTGATGTTTCCTTCAAAGAACCAATAATTTTGTTTAAATACAGCAACAAAACACACAACATAATCAACTTCTCAATGTAAACAGTAAAATAACAAGAAAATAAATTCCCAACAGGTTGTCTCTTCACCAATTTTTCTTTTCTTTATTTTTTTACTTTGACTTTCTGTAAGGGGTGCCTCTCCATCAAATAACTCCAAACAATCAGAATGATGTTCAGAGAAAAATGATTATGCTTGGAGGCATGAAATCAAACCTTACACATTTGAAAAAGACCTCAAAGTCACATTTAACAGATCATTGACACACAGCCCAAAAAAAACTCAAAGTTTCTAAGATATAACGGGTGGCTCATAACTTATAAGTGCTGATGAAATGTTTTAAACATTGAAAGAAAAAAAACAAAAAAACTCCATATATAAAAAGTTTTATCTTTGACCAATGAAGCAATATCACTTCCAATTTTTTTTTTTTTTTCATTTTTAATACTGATAAATTCAACAAAGATCATTTTCTTTTTCTTTACCCAACTCCCTATGTGGGCCCTGTCCAAACAAAAAAAAAAAATGCTCCAACAACTTGAGAACCCCACAAGGGAACCACTTGGGCTAAAAGCAAGCGTGTACAATGGTCATCTAGCAACTATACACAGAAGAAAGCTGGTTTGATAGATTCAAAAAAAAAAGAAGAGATGTACTGGTGAATTTCTGGAACAATTAGGAACCTTAGGCAATAAAAGTTATACTGCAGATACCTACAAAGAAATTGCAGGATAAAATAGACCCACAATAACATCCATCAGATATGAAGATCTTCCAGACTTCAAAGATGAGATAATGAAATGGAACAGCTGCACATATTAAGGAAAATGAGAAGATCATCAGAATTCAGTTGAAGATAAGGAAGCCTTGATTAAACAAAATTCTTTTAAAATGTATCGTTTCCATCCACTTCATATCATCTTTAGAATCGCCATTTACTATCCCATTGTCAGGACTTGTATCTGTTGAGATCTCCATTTTGTCTGACTGGCTAGCATTCCGAAAATTCATGACAAGTTCAGATGCACGTTCTGTTAAAAACTGATCCCAACTTCTCTCTTCAATTTTGAAATCGTCACCACCATCGGAATGATGATCATTGAAGGATGTATGAAGTCAAATATTTGAGCACAACACAAAAAGGGTAACACCAATCGCTTCCCTCACCTATCCAAACAAAACTTGTGCATCAAGTTCTGACAATACGACTAATTTCTGGACTGAAATCACCAAAAAATTGAAATTAAATTAATACGGGTAATTCAAGTTCCATGAGAATATGGGTTTAAAAGCTAAAAAGAAACAAAATTTGAGAGAGCAGAGCAAATACCAGGGAGGGGGACGAGAAGCATTGGTCCAAGAAAGAATTTGAGGAGAGAGAAAAAGAAGTGAAGGAGCTTTGAAGAGCAGCCATTGTAGCCATTGTTGGTGTGACTCTCGAAAGATTGCTACTTCTGCAACGAAGGAGGACGTTCTCTCTCTAACCCATCTCGCTATGATCTTAAACTCATCAAACCCACCCATAAAATTTTTTTTTTTTTTTTTTTTTTTTTTTTTTTTACAGAGACCTTCTCAAAAACCCCCAAATCAGGTTTTGTATTCGACCCATAATGTGATTGGGGGCTAATCAGTGGCTCTGAAGATCGAAGACTCTCCGAACCCTTAATCTCTCCTTTTGCACCCATTTTCTTATCAATACCCTTCGGTGATAGTGTTGCTAAGATTTTGGAGAAGTTTGGAGAGGTAGCCAGGGGTGAGAGAAGCCATTGTTGTGGTTGAAACAGGGTGGCGCTACACACGGTGTTGCAGCCGCTGAAAGAGAGAGAGAGAGAAACGAAAGAGACTAGGGCAGGACTGGGTTGGGAGTGAGAATGAATTAGGGATTTCAGATACACAACTAAGAAGAGAAGAGAAGCATGAGATGACGATAGATACCTTTGATTTCAGATACACAACCAAAGAGAAGAGATGAGATGATCCTGGTAACCCTAGCAATTGATTCGGCCTTTATCATCATCAGAGAGAGAGAGATTAAAACCCCTGTGATGTTCCATTTTGATTAGAGGAAGGTAAAATAATTATTTTGAGAAAAAAAAATTCTAATATATATATATATATATTTGTAAATAATTATTTTGAGAAAAAAAAATTCTAATATATATATATATATATTTGTGATTGGCGGCCCAAATTTCATTTTGGTGGTTTTTTATTATCATACAATTCACAACATGCATTGTGCTTCGTAAAAATGCAATACTTTTAATAGCTGGCGTATGTACATCATGTATAATTGATGTATTAAGGCACGCCATATGCACGTCGTAGAAAGTTTTATTATTTACGGTTTGCATTGCAAGTCGTAAAAAAGTCATCGTTATTACCATTCACGGCCTACGCTATAGACACACCGTGGTTGGAAAAGTATTTACAACGTGCAAAAAAGGCAAGTCGTAAAAGTGAGAAACTACGGCGTTCATTTATTGTATGTCGTTAATGTGGTGTCGTAAAAAGTCAGTTTTGTTGTAGTGAATTAAGCTTTTTCTTGTTTAAAAAAATTCTAAAATTGCTTTTGAAATAAAGCCATCATTTGTGATTCAAAATCATCACCATCCTTGGGAGAATTAACAAACTTATGAGAACTTTTAAAAGCAAGAGTATCTTTTTGTTTATTTTTCAAAAAAAAAATTAGCTTCATAAGTTTGTAGGTTTCCAACCAACTGATCCAGCTTTAAATTATCAATATCTTTAGCTTTTTCGATAGTTGTAACTTTTGATTGGAAATGATTGGGTAATGATCTCAAAATTTTAGCCACAACTTTAGGCTCGGGAATTTTCTCTTCTAATGCAAAACAGGAATTAACAATGTCACTAAGCTTGGCATAAAATTCATCAAAGGTCTTATCATCTCTCATAAAAAGCATTTCAAAATTAGATGTGAACCTTTGAAGTTTGCTACGTTTAATAGTGTTAGTGCCCTCGTGAACAGTTTCAAGTATATCCCATGCTTCTTCGGCAATTTCACACGTACTAATCCAATGAAACTTTTCTTGTATAACCAAAAATAAAATTAATAGTCTTGCTATTCTAGTTTGCATTAGTAAAATCATTCATATTCGAATCATCTCTCGGTTTTGGAATACTTTCTCCTTCCATGGTGATCATGGGTTCTTTCCAACCTTTGACAACAGATTGCTAAACTCTTTCATCAATAGATTTTAAATATGCTCTCATTCGAGCTTTCCAAAAACTATAGTTGGTTCCATTGAGCAAAGGAGGTTCATATGAAATATTATTTCCTTGGATCGAATCCATAATTAATAATCATGAAAAGATCACATTCCTATAGTTTTGAAAAACAAAGTACGAGTGACCCGCTCTAATACTAATCGAAAAATCTAGATTTATGCGAAAAACTCTTTTTGAAAATCTAGATGCGTCCCATTTAACGTATCGATATAAGCAATCCAATTAAGAATTTATGCAATCATGATCAATATAGAGAGAGTAAGAGAAAAATAAACAATCACAACACAAGATATTTTTATGAGAAAAAATCATAGTTGGCATCCACCAACTTATGATAAAAAAAACCACAGGCCCTCAGCCAAACGAAGTATTCACTATGCAAGAAAGGTAGTATACAGATATCTTACAAAGGCCAATCCAAGTAACATGAGTCCAGTTACCAGCACATGTCTTTGCTCACTCTGCCATGGTTGTTGAATCGCCACGATGCCATTGATTATGGAATCCACCAAGAAGGTTCACTTTTTGAAGAGGTGAATAACTTATACAAAAGGCTTGATGATTATCTTGAAGCTCCTACAGACTATGAATCATCAAGCAACTAAGAGATTGTAAACACCCCATTTTTGATCGTCCTTAAGACTTGGACGTCATCGCTTGTGCACTTGATGATTGTGATTGTATGTGCTCATTTTAGTGCTCGAAGTCCTTGGCGGACTGCTCTGTCTTTGAGTCTTTAAACCTTATCCATTCTATTCCTTGTTTTGGACCAAAATCTTAGTGTTTTAAGCCCAAAACCTTAGTGCTTCAAGCCTGCAACCCTTGGTGGCCAACTGGCCACCAATTGAGGCTATAGGCCATCCAAGTGGCCTGTCGGCCATCACTGGTGGCCGACAGACCTTTTTGTAGATATTTTGTTGACTGTTGTTCCAGCTGTTGGCACAAGTGTCTCCATCTCCCTACACATGTATGGAGAGATTTATCTCAGCCAAATGTATGTTTTTCTTTATATAAGGGGTCTCCTCCCCCATTTTTGAGGGTTAGAAAATTTGGAACAAAAATCTCTTTCTCTCTCTACATTTCTCTCTCTCTCTCTCTCTTGCAAATTTGTGCACCTTAGCTTAGATACACTACACTTTTGCCTATACCTCCTTAACCAAAGTTGATCATCTTTGAGCTGAGGTTTCTTGAAGCCTTCTTGGAGCTTTTGAAGGTGGTTTTGGCTTGAATTGTTGCCCAAAGTTGATCTTTACTTCAAGAGGTATACTACTTCCCTTTTAAGCTTGCTTTGTATACTTGTTTTTCTATCTCTTTCCACTATTTTTGGGCTGTTTTTGAGCTCTAAAAAAGTCTATTTTTGTGGGCTGAAATTGGTGTTTTAGGCCATTTAAGGTTGGGGGGTATTTTACCTTTTTTTATTCCTTGCTTGTGAGGCTTTTTCACCTTTGTTTCCCACCTTCAAACTATCTTTTTTTGGGCTTTTGAACACTGAATTTCAGAGTATTTTCAGTGATAAAAATCATGTTTTGAAGTCCAAAATTAGACGGGTTAGCCTCCCTTCTTGTGTCTAGTTTGCTAGCCTAGATAGCTCTATGTGCTAGCTTATTTTTCTAGCCTTTTGTATCTTAATTCCAGCATGTTTTAGGCTATATTTTGGACTGCTTTAACTCTATTTTGGGTTGATTGTTGCATGTGAGTCTTGTTTTGCATGCTTCTAGTGTAATCGTCCTCACAAGCTTAGTGTTTTAGGCCTTTAGACACTTGTTTGAGTTGATTATATTGTTTTAGTACTTTTGTCACTTCATTTTAGCATTTATAATCTCTACAATCTCTCTCATTTCTTCACTCTTTGTTTGTTTTGAGGGTTGTTTCAACCTTAGGATAGTTTAAGCTTGAGATTGAGGTTCATTGCTTAATGGTTTAATCATCTTTTGGGGGTTCATTACCAATGGCATGACACCTCCCTGTTGCCTTAAACTACCCATTGTTTGACACTTCCTTCTCTTTAGAGGACTTCTCATCATTGGGCTTAATTGGTTAAAGGATGATTGGTAAATTAAAATGAGTAAAGTTGAAACTAAAAGTGAGCAAAGATAAGAATTTGGTTGTGTTTTGATGTGTTCAATCGGATATTAATTGAACACAAGAAAAATTGAGGCATTTCATACTCAAAGTGATGAAATGTGTCAAGTTTCCTAGGTCTCCATTGCCCTTAATCTTGTATGATAGGGTGATAGTCTTGAGTCTTGTTTGTACATTTATTAACTTGCACAAATTGGTCCCTTAGCTATCATGCAATCAAATTGCTTGATTGATGGTTTAAGGACCAAGTGTATCACTCATTTGAGATGTTTTGATGATAAGGAGGGATACACAGTATAAACAAACTGTGAGAATACCCTCTCTTTGCCCTGTTTGCTTTCTATTGCAGCAAGAGAAATGGCGTGTCATTAGTGGCCGGCCGGCCACTGTTACTGGCGGCAGGCCATCAGTGTTGGACGGCAACCTCTCAATGGTGGCCGGTCGGCCACCACTACTGGACTGCCGGCTACCAATGAATTTTGAGCAGTGTGCTTGTGAAGCATGGCAGAGTTGATCTGGAGAAGGAAAATAGTGCAAGGGTTGTGCAACAGAGGCTTCCGAGGGCAAACAACGGATGTTCTTTGGATGGAAATAGAGCATGCATGAGCCTCCCTCGCTTCCTGGGAATAGTTAATTAGCTTAATTAGCATTTAGCCATTTATTTTTGTAATTAATTAGTTGTAGCTAATTAGTTTGTTTTGTACCTATTTACTTAGTTTTGATTAATTAAACTAGTTTGTGTTGTAATATTTAATTAGCTTAGCCTAGTTAATTTAATTATTCATTCAAGTTTTGTAATAATTAACTTAGCTTAGCTTAATTAGCCTAGCTTAGTTAAGTAGTGTAGCTTAGCTATTCAGACTCTCCTTCGTGAGAGCATGATGTAATAATATATATGTCTTCCAACTCCATGTCTTTCTCCCTTTTACTTAACCGCTTTCGATGGTTAGTTTAGGAGCATCACATTTTGTTTAGCATATAGCATGTTTGCATCCATTCATTTGTCTTGCATGAACCAAGGCTTGGTGCATCATTTTAACTGTATTGTCGTTTCAATACCTCGTTGAATACGTGTTTAAAATGCATGCATTGAAATTGTTGCAAATAACATGTTAAGTAGCCGAGCCTAGTAAATTGCATATCACATATGTTGCATTAGACATCTTGTATACTTAAGAATCATGCATATTTGTCTAACTTTGTTTCTTTGGCTTGGAGTACTAGGTGAGTTTTAGTGCTTTAGCATATTTGCATGAGTGTGAGTGACTGCCATGTTTAGCATGCTTGCCATGCGGCTAATTGCTTAAGTGTTAAACTGTTTGAATGCTTGTGGATGAAGGTTTGTTGCTTGAATTGGAATGATTCAATAAATGTATGTTTAAGCCCACTTTGTCAAGTGGCAAATTCAAACCCTTTTTAAAAGCAAACATAAGATTGAGTCATTCCAATTTGAGCAAACTAGTCTATATTTGCTTGTGCGCGCATCACATAGTAAATGATAGCTTAATAAACCGGAACAAGAGCATATAATGTACATAAGAATCATATCATGATTAGTAGAGGCCGAGTTTTGATCGGGCGAGCGGGGGTGCTCAATTCATGACCTTCCCCTCTCTTACCTAAGTTCCCGAGCTAAGGCAACTTTGGTGATGACGGATACATGGCCTTTGGCACGAGTCATGGGTTTCCTAAATTTTTCCAAAATAAAATATTTAGGTGGTGACTCTGTATCTGACAAA